TGGTGGGCATCTGTAGTCCCAGCTACTTGGGAGGCTGAGGCAAGAGAATCGCTTAAGCCCAAAAGTTGGAGGTTGCTGTGAGCTGTGACACCATGGCACTCTATCAAGGGTGACATAGTAAGACTCTGTTTCAAAACAAAAAAACCAAAAATCAGTATAGGCCAATAACAGCCAAGCTGAGAATCAAATCAAAGACAGAATACTATAGCTTCAAAGAAAATGAAATACCTGGGAATATACTTAGCTAAGGACATGAAGGATCTCTACAGAGAGAAACCCTGAGGAAAAAAATAGCAGAAGACATTAACAAATGGAAGAAGATACCATGCTCATGACTGGGAAGAATCAACACTGTTAAAATGTTCATACTGGCTCAGCACCTGTAACTCAAGCGGCTAAGGCGTCAGCCACATACACCTGAGCTGGTGGGTTCAAGTCTAGCCCCAGCCTGTCCGACAACAATGATGGCTGCAACCAAAGAATAGCTAGGTGTTGTAGTGGGTGCCTGTAGTCTCAGCTACTTGGGAGGCTGAGGTAAGAGAATTGCGTAAGCCCAGGAGTTGGCAGTTGCTGTGAGCTGTGATGCCACAGCACTCTACCCAGGGCAACAGCTTGAGGCTCTGTCTCAAAAAAAAAAAAATGAAAAACAACTCATACTACCCAAAGTGAACTACTGAGTCAATCCAATCCCCATCAAAGCACCAATGTCATGCTTTGAAGAACTTGAAAAAATAATATAGCATTTCATATGGAACCAGAAAAGCCCCCCAAAAGCCAATGCAATTCCAGGCCTCTTTTCTACCACACATTGCTTCTCACCCAGTACTTCTGGCCTCCGAGTGGAGATCCGTAGGCTCTGAGCAGGCATAGGGACAAGCTCCAGCAGTGTGCGAGCCAGGTGATTCCCAAGCTGGCCACCACCAATGATGCCCACCTTTAACTCCTCACTATCAGGGCTGTCCAAATGATGGAATTCATTTGAGAGAGGACTGGAACTTTGATTCTCTTGTAATGATTCTCTGGAGAATGAACAGACAGACAGACATAAGTACATGTACATATTGTAGACCTTGTCAGTCTGGTGTTTTTCTGCTTTAACTTCCTCATATGAAAGCCTGGTGTCACATAAAATACTTCAGAGAGAAGACATTTCAATCGTATGCCATTTATCCAGCCTCCCTAGGGAACAAAATGTTCCACCCGAGTAAACTGTCCAAAAACCAAAGGATAACCCTTTTCAGGGGACCAAAATTTGTTTAAAACATTTAAAAATTTTTGTTACATGTATTATGCATTTCCCTGTCTTCTTAAACACAAGGTCTGAATATTTAATCATTTTGTTGATTCAGAACCATCATTTGTGAACAGCCACTAGTACACATTATTCTGTAATGTATAACACATTTCGGGTCAGTGCCCTCATTGTTTTTGTTTTCTGTGCAGACAACTGTCAATCATTTATTATGGTTAAAAAAACATATAAAATTTACCATCTAAAACATTTTTAAGTGTATAGTACAGTAAGGTTAACTATATGCACATTGTTGTATCCAGAGCTCTAGAACCTTTTCATCTTGCAAAACTGAAACTCTATACCCATTGAACTATTTCTCTTTTCACATTCATCCAGCCCCACTTGTCAGTATACTTTTAGTTGGCTAATTAGATACCTCATATAAGTGAATCATGCAGTACTTGCCTTTTTTTGTTTGTTTGTTTGAGACAGAATCTCACTCTGTTGCCCCAGGCTAGAGTGCCAAGGTGTCAGAGTTCACAGCAAGCTCAGACCTCTGGGTTCAAGAGATCTTTTTGCCTCAGGCTCCTAAGTAGCTGAGACTACAAGTGCCCACCATAATTCCCGGCTAGTTTTTCTATTTTTAGTAGAGACTGGGTCTTGTTCTTGCTCAACCTGGTCTTTTTTTTTTTTTTTTTTGAGACAGAGCCTCAAACTATCCCCCTGGG